AGGCCTACCTGGGCCGAACTGTGGTTGCCATCTTGATCCAATCCCTTTGCATCTCTGCAGTTCTGAGCTGGATAAACGAAAAGAGTATGCGGAGTATTACATAAACAACTCAGGCAAGGGATGCGCATGGATGCACTGCCGGATGGGGAAACAGTTCCGCACTCTGCCAACCACTTTGCTGTCAACCCACGCTGCTTGGCAGCGCTGCTTTCCGACCCGCGGTGGCCCATGCCTCCAATGCACGCTCGCATGAGCTGCCCCTTTGTTATGTTCCTTGCAGCACTGTGCAACGTGCGCAGCTACTTTGCCGACGATTTTGAGCTCCTCAAGTTCCCGGGCTGGTAGCAGCGTCGCCGTGCACTGGCTCGAGGGGCCAAGGCCAGCTGCAGCGTGCCCGCCCTGAACTGGCAGTGCGTCTTCCAGTGTAACTTTAGCTTTGTACGGCCAACCAACCTTCTCCACCTCCTCATTATCGTAGATATCGGCTTGTGATGAATGGCCCTTCAGTGGTGGGCCTGATGGATCTAGCGCCCGCTGCGTTGCCGCCAGCAAACCGCCGCCAGCAAAGCAGGCGGCTTTGTTACTCCCCGTGGCCGCGCTTTCCTTTCGTGAATTAGTACCGCGATGCACTCTAGACGGAGTCACGTTGGGTGACAATGGGGTGGAGTGCCAACCGCAGGAATGGGTTGGCCGGCCCAGCAGGCCCGCGCCGTTTCGCTCTGCCAGTCAGCTTGGTGCTGCTCGCGGCCCTGCTGGCGTCGCTGAAAGCGTCGGGCGACGGTTGGCACGGTTTAGGGCCGCTCACGCAGGCAGGCGCCACTGCCGCGGCGGCCGCCAACCGCTGGCGCTTTGCAGCTTCTGCCCGGGCTCGACACACCCTGGCTGCAGCTACATACTCCATTCTTAGCTTTGCCCGCTGTTACATGCAGGCTCTGATTGAGATGCCAACTGCCGTTGGCTGGCAGCATGATGGACCAACGCTGTCACATGCACAACCCGTCAATCGGTTTACCGCACAGCCTGCTGACCGGTCCGCTACTCTATCTTCCAACCAGCCTGGGCCTCGGTCGCCCGATCGATGCACGCGCTCAAGCGCTGTTGCGGCGGCCCTGACAAAGGGCTCATGGCGGGAGCTCATGCAGCCCAGGTAGCTCATCGCCTGCTTGCGCGCCATGCATTCTGCCACGCCCGCTGTGCCTGCTCCATCACTGGCTGCTGATGCCGGCCCTGCACCTGTGCCCACATGCCACCCTGGCCTCCCGATCCTCGCAGTTGCAATGCATCCAAGCCACTCCTGGCCAGCTGCACCGCTGCACTGGGGCACGAGTGGCTGTGGGAGCAGCAGGTGTGCTCGGCACGGCACCATAGTATGCAGGAGCTGCGAGACTTGATGAGGCACAAGCGGTTGGGAGTGTGGGGCGACAGCCACGGCAGGAACCTCTACACTCAGTTCATCCGCATGCTGACAGGTGGCATGCCTGTGTCTGCTTGCCTGTTGTTGCCCGGCTGTTGCATGCCTCCCTGTGCAGAAGTGACCGCCACAAGTGACCGCCACAAACCCAGGCATAGAACCCGCCACCCCTGCTCAATTGTGTGCGCCGCCGCTGCTGCTGCTGCTACTGCAGGCACGTTTGATGATAAAGTGGATGAGCTGGCCAAGCATTATCAAGACGGGTTTTGGCATGGCATCTCCGCCACCGGCGAGACAGCAGCAAACTATTTAATGGGGGACCTGCACCTGAGCCTGCGATGGCACACCACAATCCCGCGCATGGCACACGAAATCTATCAGCTGTGAGTGCGCGTGGGCGCTGCCAGCCAAGCAGACTTCTACACCTGACACTACAACTGAATGCTAACCCCATCCAGCGCTTGGCATTGGCACAAATGGCACAGATTGTGCTTATGCTCCCTCCAGCCTCCCCATGCGTTCCTGTACTGCCTCGCAATCTGCAGGCAGCAGACCTCTCTAGGTTTGCCAGACGTGGTCATCATCTCAACCTCCTCCTGGTACTATGTGCGTCACCTGGGGCGCTGCGATGCTGGCAAGCTCAGTACTTTGCTGAGGTCTGCTGTGCAGCAGCCTGCCCCCTGTTCACTAACGTCTGCTCTGCTGCTGCTGCTGCTACCTGTAGAGGCACAAGCTCCCCGTGTATCAGCTGGAGCACGACTTACAAGAGCTGAGGGTGGCTGTGGAGGCTGCCGACGCAGCCGCACGCAAGGTACGCTGGGCTGTCGGCGAGTGTCAGGCTTTTCATGCGTGTCATCCACCGGCCTCCAGCCTGTGAAACAGCATGTGATCCACCAGCTCCTGTCCCTGCCTGGCCCCATCCCCTGCCCCATGTCCTGCAGGCTGGGCGGCATTTGCTGTGGCTGCTGCTGACGGTGCCATCTCGCGTGCGCGGCCGGAATAGGAGCAGCACCTGGAGCGCCCCTCTCCAAGCCATCTCTGTGTACAACAAGGCGCTGCAGGCCTCGGGCCTGCTGCACCCTCAAGGTCCCATGCTCCTGCTCGACCTGCACGCCCTGAGCGAGGGTGCGTCCTGGGCTAGCTTTTGAGCCCCTGCGCCTGCGGTGCTGCTGAGGAGGGCCCAGCCCGCCGACTCTATAGACCATTGCTTGCCTGCCCATGCCTTCTTTATGTGCTGCTGTGGCTCGCCCTCTCCACGTGCCTGCTGTGCAGGCTGCCTCGCATGGTGCAGCTACGACGGCATTCACGCCAATGCCGCCGTGTATGCGCTGGTCAACCAAATGATTGCCAATCTGCTGAAGCTGCCGCCAGATGTTGATAGATTTGACGACCATTCGGCGCCAGGATCTGCAGTGGCAGTAGGCTCCGCCAAGCCTGTCGGGACCGCGGCAAAAACCACTGCGCCTGGTCCCAGCCGCCCGCTGAAGAAGAGCCAAGCCGTTGCCGTGAATCTTCAGCAGATTGCAGCTAAGCGGGCGATGAGCAAGCAAGGCTTGCAAGCAGGCGCCAAGCAGCCGCGGTAAGGGCATAATCAGAAGTTTTTACCGCGCATTTCTTGACCCTTTGGACGTACACTGAATCGGACCATTCTCCGCTAGATTGCTGACCGTGCGTGTGCTTTCTGCCATGTTCCAATTTTCCCCGTTTTTCTTTGAACTCTTTGTCCACACCTTTAATGTCACAGCTCATTCTGCTAGGGACCTGACCCCAACTTACTTTGTGCAAGCCATTCTGCACAGGTTCCACCAAACTGACACTTTGCACATGAATGCTTCTCCAGAATTTGCTTGTGACCTGTCATGTATCAGTCGCAGACTCATTGGTTGTTTTGTAGCACCATGAGTCCAAACCAAAATGCAAGTTTTCAGTTGATGAAATCAGAAATATAAAACACCCACAGAAGTCACCTTCGACTGTCACCGGCTGGGCTGCCTGGCATTCGCACCGCGTTGCCCAGCTCGCTGTCCCGCAGCACGTCATTGAGCAGGTACAACCAGAGCTGGTAGGCCGACGGCTGGCACCAGTGGCTGCACTCCCCGGGCAGGTGGCTGTCCCAGAGCGGCACGGTGGCGTTGTAAATTTGCAGGTGGGCATCCGCCAGGCGCGACACGATGGGCGCCACCGCCATGGCCCGCCGCGTGCCTGCCCCTACCACAGGGTCTCCCTTGTACCAGGCATCCAGGGGTCGGCACTTGAAAGGCCGCTTGCCATGCCCGGGAAACGTGCCCTCGTGAGTAAAGAAGTGCTGCAGGAGGCCAGGGAGTGGAGAACGAGCCCCACACAACAATGCAGACCTGTTGCTAAACAGCAAGGAACAGAAGAGAAGCGCCTCGAAGACGCTCCCCTCAGAGCCACAGCAGGCAGGTCACACCATGTGAAGGTGACCCCCGCACCACACCTGAGGCCCAGTATCCATCCAGACGATGCGGGGCAGGAAGTCGGCATGCAACTGTCGCCACTCCGCCAGCGCAGTCAGCTCCTGCACATATCGCGGGCTGGGCGTCTCTGGATGGTCGTATTCAGGATAGTGCAATCTGCAGAAGCACAAGAAGGAGGAGCGGCATGGGCGGACAGGTTGGTTAACGCGGTCTCCAGTGTGTGCTCGCAACACGAGCCAAGAAAAGCAATAGCCAGCAAAAGACACACCCTGTGTTCAACACGACGATGTCTTCCTTGAAGTTTGGCACCAGCTTCATCAAACGCGGCAACACCTGCATCAAATGCGCGCATGTGAACGGCACAACAAGCGTTGGGCGCAGCCAACAAAAGCCTCCACTGTGCCACATGCCTTCCAGACCTCAACACATGCCTCACTCAGCTGAGAGAGCCATACAAACCCCCACCTTCTTCTGCACATCAGATGCATAGTCCACTCGCACGCCACACACACGTGTGTTGCGAGCCAGGTTGAGACACAGAGGAGGGCTGATATGCGACACAATTTTCAGCTGCTGATTCTCCTCTGGTGCCACAGCGGGTCTGCACACAGAAAAAGGGCACCAGGGATGCTTGCCCGTATGAAGCATGCCAGGCCAATAGCATTTGGGGGGGGGGGGGGGGGGGGGGGGGGTTTCCCCC